TTTGAGCAACCTCATTAACGTCATTAGCTCTCTGACATCCTGGGGCAGAAGGGGCTGCTGCATGCAGGTACTTCTTCCTGAAGTTATGAGGATTTACTCTTTGCGGTTAACTTCCCCACATAAGGTTTTATCTTGGTTGTATCTTTTTATGGTTCCCTCCTGATGTAGATTTGTTAGGTGTATTTGATCTCTCTTTTATTTTTTTTACCTCCTTCATTCAGTTGGGATTGAGGAGTTCATTCAAAAGATGAAAAGCTGTCCCATTATATTTTACATTCAAATTCATATTTAATCTATAGTAAGTACACTAAAAGTTACAGGTTTTCTGAAATATGGAGATGACTATACATAGGCTCTTCATCCTTCTTCTGTCCCACCTCTCAGCAAGCTCATAAGACTCAGAGGTGATCAGGCAGGCAGCTGGGGCTGGACCTTCCAGTGGGGTGCAAGCAGTCTGTGTCACCTACTTGTCCCCCAGCCCACCCCCATCCTGAGAATCAGTCACAGGAGGGGTCAGGCTCTTACAGATGAACAGAAGAACCTCTTCTCCCCACTGTTGTTCTTGCCTGGTAGTCATGGAAGCCAGGATGGTGGCCCCCACCACGTGAAGGATTGTCTCTTGGACAGGGGATGTTGGAGCAGGGGGCTGGGTGCCGGTGCAGTGATGCTGTTCCCCTTGCAGTGTCGCTGGAGCTGGCTCTGCCAGGCACACAGCAACAGGCAGGGCGCTGCACTGAGCACTGTGGGAGCAGTGAGACAAGGAGAGAGAGGGATGGGTGGCAAGGTCAGGGGGATCATCTTTGTTATGAGCTCGGAGAAGCTGAAGGCTTAAAAGATAAAAAATTGAGATGAAAGCAGCTTGGTTTGACCAGTCCATGCCACCTTACAAGATCAATGCTGACATTATGCCTGCATAGTGTGCCTCTAACCTCTTCTTCCAAGTCTGATGCCTTGAGTGGTGCCTGTGGGGTGTCACTGGGGTGTCAGTGCTGGGCAGCAGCTGGGGGTCAGCTCCAGCTGGCCGCACACTCCCGGACAGCACTGCCCAGCGCAGCATCCTCCGTGCTCGCTGCTAAAAGCCCATTAAAACAAAAGAGCAATATTCTTCGAACCCCACTGTGTCTTAAAAGGGAAGCATGGACCTCTTGGTCAAATGTGAGCCTGGGAGACACGCAGGAGTGACAGCAATTAATCACCACTCTGCTTTGAATCTTTATGTTAGTGCTCGGTGTTAAACATTACAACGGCACTGATGTGGAAGCTGACACCAGCCTTTGTAAGCCAGGTCTCTGTAGATGCGAGGTTGCAGGCTAGGCAATAATAAAATAGTTCAGCTTGTTAGACACAGGCAAGGCTTTTTGGTATGCACATCATGCCAGCCTCAGAAATGATGTACGTGTCAAAATAGCAGAGGGAAAATAAGAGGAAAACCCTAAAATTAAGCCTTTTATTTGAAAGATATCACTGCTAAAATTAGATTAATTTTATAACCACAATAAGATTTCTGAAGTTTAGCATGCAAGCAATTAATCAGCTAGCTCAGAATACCCCTGGGAAGTATGTTTTGTTACTGAGGGGTGTTTTTTCCCCTTTTTTTTCTGTTGGCAGCTATTCCACATCTGAAAAAGAGAAGCCTTCTCTGGCATGCAGCAGAGATCACTTGAGGAGTTCAAATCACCTTTATCTGCCCACCTGTGACAGGATCCAACAAGTCTCTGCAGAGGTATGTGTGGATGGAGGACAACAGAGTCTGTCCTGGGATTCTGAATTTCATGAAATTTTGGGGTGATTTGGGGTTAAACTACAGCTAAAGTACTTCCCCACCACACAGTAAAATAAAATCCAGATACAGATTGTCCTCTGAAGCTGAGTGCTGAAATTTTGGTATATTTCTGATCTCTGCTAGTACTATTTTTTGTTGAAGGAAGTTGGTGTATGGCTAAGAGATGGTGTCATTTTCCTTAGTGAGGCAAACATCTGTAGTCACCAGAGCTGCCTGGCAGCTGCACAGCTGCATTTCAGCCAGGCCTGGCTCTGCTCACAGGTATCACACCCCTTGTGCTGGGGCACCCTAGGCCTCTCCCCATCACCACTGACCTCCAGTGTGTTTCTGCAGAGGGATCTCTGCTTTCCCTCCTGGGGACATGCAGATGCACCCTGAGCAGAAAAAGGCTTTTGTGACTGGTGTCAGAGGCAGTGCTTTGACCTGTCCCATGTGCCCATCTGTCAGGTTTTTGGCAAGTGTAGCGCTGCATTTCTGCTCCTAAATCCATGCTCATCACTGCTGTACCCTCTTCCACCCAGGCTCCCCTTCCCTCCTCCAAGAGCCCTTGGTTCCACAGGCTCTAAGCTGTCCCGAGGTTTGGCTCCCAAGGAGGGTCTGCCCCTCCTCAGTTGTACAAGCAGATGCTGTAGGGAAGTTTCTTGACTGAGTTTGTATGCAAACAACATACAGCTCCTGGCTGCTGATGGCTATCCAACTCCCTGGCAAATTAAAATCTATAAACTATGCTGGCATATGTAATTTAAAAAATAGCTATGCTATAGTATGGCTATGCATGCGTATTGACTAAAAATAGCACTTGCCAAGAGAAAAACAGAGATAATTACAGTGAATTTGGATTGCAACCGATTTTATTTTTTTATTGAATTAGGAAAAGGAGTATGCAAACACAGCTTATATGGAGACATATATCTTTACTGCTCTTTTTGCTATGGAAGAAAATAAAACCTACTGGACTTGGACATTTGATAAAATTTTATTATATGAAATTGCTACCAATGTCTTTCTCTCTGATGAGCTTTGCTTGAGGGTGGCAGCTGAGCCCATCCTGTTAATGAGATGCAGTGCTCCTCTGGCAGGAGGCAGGAGATGGCACCATCACACCTTGTCTTTCCTGTCTCTCTGGTGTGTGAGCAAGTGTTTAGTCTGGGGAAGAACAGCTTTCCCTGTGACACGGCTGGGCAGTGGCTGCTGCGGAGGATTCTGGTGGAAGCATAGTTTCTTCCTTGCAGTGGTCTTACTGACTACTAAATGACTTTTGGGACTGAATCCCTGGCTAGAAATAGTTTTCTTGGCCTTCAATCCCCTCAGGTGTGATGTGCATTGCCTATTAACGTTACCTGCCTACATCTTTTACACTATTTCTTTCAGAGTATGTGTGCTACCTTGTTCTCAAAAGTGTCTTTTTTTTTTTTTTTTTTTGAGAGGGGGAAATGCTGGGGAATTACATCTGCTTTCCTAGTGCCAGACCAGTTTTCCGAGGCTAAAGGAAGAGAGGAGGCTGGAGAGGGTGTGATCCTGCCCTAAGCTGTAGGGAAAGAGCTCACACAAGGGCATGGCATGCACTGTAGTCACTGCTGGAGAGGGAGAGCGTCCCTCTCCCCCACCTCCTCCTCTGAACAGCAGCTTGCCATTTCTTCTCTTTTATTCACATCCGTGCAGGAAGGGCATCCCAGCATCTCAGGCTTTGCATCTGTGAGGCAGGGCCAGGCACAGAGGGAAGCAGAGCACAGGCATCTGTGCTGCCCTCCTGCTGAAATGGGGGCTGGTCAAAGACATCCAGTGGCACTTCACACAGGACTGGTCCTTGCTGGCCAGGACCGCTTGCTGCAGAGCCAGGAGCTTCCAGCAGCTGCCAGGCTGTAGGTGTTTAATTGGTTAAGTGCCTGGGGAGGCTCTGGGATGGAAATGACTGCAGAAACACAAGAGCAATCCGAGGAACAAAACCCCTCACCTGGAGGATTTTTTTTATTTAATTACTGCTCAGACCCAGTTATCTCTACTGCAGAAAGTGAGGCTGTTTGAGACAAATTATTTGAGAGAGATGCTCAAAGATGGGTCCATGAGGGGCCATCCCCCTTCTGCCCCTCCACAGGGGGGCTTGCTAGGCTGCCCATAGCACGGGGGAAGCTGCTGAATGGCTGATGCCCCAGGGTGATGTACAAGGGGGGAAGTGGGCCCAGGGTTGGAAGGGAGAGCAGGGCTCCTAAATATTTGCAGATAAGCAAGCTAGTGTTTTACAGCCTAGGAAGCATCGATGGGAGGTCCTTGCTCGGGACCTGGAGGCTCACCTGTTTTAGCATCACTGCTGACCCTGGCCAGAGAGAGATGGTCCATGGGAAGTCACCTTAGTTGTATAAACAAACATTTAATGAATGACAATGTGTGTCAAGCACCTTAAACTCAGGGATGAATAAGGTTTCTTTGTTTTTTAATCTGCAGCAGGTTGCTTTGAAGCTGCAGCAGGTTGCTGTTTTGGCTACAGCTTATTTCATTTTGTTCTACCTACCTACTCTTAGGTGCATGGGATTTTGCCCAGGCACTTGCCCTTTTGGTCACAGTTCCTCTCAGAGTTGTTTTTTTTTTTTTTTTGCTTGAAAGAAGCTCAGAAGGGAAGGAGAAGGCACGATTTTGGCAGCTCAAGGGATTATTTCTTTTATCACTAAGGATGCTGTGTGACTTTATTGCCTTTCTGAGCTCTTTAACACAGCAATAAACGAGCCGTTAAAATATTTTAAAATCAATAAATGTAATAAAGAAGCAAGCAAATTACAAAGCTGCTCCCGATGTTCAGTGATTTGGGAAATAATCATGTCCTCAAGCGAGCAGTGAGCTGGGGCAGGGAGGCAGCTGGGTGACCTTGCAGGGGCTGCTGCAGGGCTGGAGGAGGCAGAGCCGGTCCGGAGCCCGTCCCGGGGGCAAAGGGGGCCGTGGGGTGGTCAGTGGGCACGGGCTGGGCTGGCTGGGGGTCTGAGCAGGATGGGACTCCTGTTTCCTGCCACCCCTTGCCCATCCCGGCTGCTGTCAGGCTTAAACCTGGGGTTTCTCTTTGCCTCAGGCAGGTGCATAATTCCCATCTCATCCTCCTGAGCCGACTGCCGGAGCGCGTCTGAAGTCTCTGCGGCTCTGCTCCCGCTTAGCAACGAGCCCAAACAAAAGGTGACCTCCATCCCCGGGCTGGGCAGGGCGTGACAGCGGGAGCTGTGGGGTCCTGGCAGCCTGGGGCTTGCCTGGTTACCCCACATCGCCTTCTTTGCCGGGCGAGCTGGAAGGAGCGGGGGTGCGAGCAGGGAGCGATCGCAGCCAGGGCAGGAGTCGCAGCTCCTCTCACCGCTGTTTTCAAAGGTTCATGCGTCTAAATGACTTCTCAGCAGCTGTCCTCCCTGGAGAACCTCTTTCTTGAAAGATGATCCTGCTCTTGTAATTAAGGTAATTGTTTAAATTCATTCCCTTAAACCGGACTCCATCATAACTTAACCAACAGTGTCTGTGCAAGCGTGTCAGGGTCGAGGAGGGTCGGGGCGGGTGTCACGGGATTGATTCATCATCCGGAAAGATTCATGGGCGAAAATCTTGTTAAACTGAAATGCCTAATAAAGATGCAGGGGAAAATCACATACAGGGCATCACCTGGGCAGGCGGCTGCCCCCAAAAAGCTGCCGATATCTTCTGTGTGCTGCAGGGACTGGCAGGGTGAATGTCACCCCGGCAGGCAGGTGCAAAGACACGCTCCAAGCCCCACCCCCATCATCTGCCCAAATAGCAGGTCAGCCTGCACACATTCATGTTGTTTTGGGATGTTTGATTTCCTTTCTCACTTACTCTGAATGCTTTCTGATTTCATGGAAGTCTGAAGGTAATTGAATGTAATTGTTTAAAGAATCGAATTATTTAAATTACGGGGTAATGCTTGAAATAAAATGACGATCTGTGGGAGTTTATTAATGTTGGTGGTGGATGGAGAGAGGCAGAGAGACGTGTTCCGTCATGCCCAGCACAGGGCTGCTGGGCTGGCTGTGCCAGGGAGCCACAGGATGCAAAGGGGCAGCGGCTCAAGGCCAGGATCCAGCATGGTCCTGAATGGGTGGCAACCCTCTGTGATGCTCATCCCTCCCTGGCAGAGCCCAGGCCAGGCTTGTCTTCCATCTGAACTGACTTGGGCAAGAACTGGTGGCTCAGTCCCTCTCTGAGGCTGTTTCAAGGTATCTGTGGCGGGTGGCAGAGATTACCCTGGGGATAAGGGCTTTTCTCCATTGCCACATGGATTGCCCCATGCCCAAACCCTGGGGAAGGATTGAAATATAGTCAGCACAAATTAGGCGAAATACAAATATCAGGACACTGGTGAAAAGAACATGAATTGGATTTGCATTAAAAATAATGATTTTGGAGCCTGATGGTGGCCTGTGGCTCAAATAGTTGGGGAAGCAGTAACAGGAGGCAGGAGGCTTCAGCTGTGCTCCTTGCTGTGCTACTGCCTGCCTCTCTGTGCAGAGATCCTTAATATTTCTCTGCAGTGCCATCTTCATCTGAAAACCTTATGCCTACAGAAGAAAGTGTTTCTATGTTTTTGAGGCTGGGTGACAAGCATTAACTCATGTAAAAGGACCTTTTCTTTTCCCCACCACCACTGTGTCACCTTTTTCACTTTCATTTGGACACGAGGCAGGTGATTACACTGCCCAACACAGTTCTGGTGTTTGGTAGTCAGATTTACTTGGGCAGCAATTTAAAGCTCCCCTACCTGTCCATCCATTCTTCCCCTCACCCCACAGTCAAACATGTCCCTCTGCATGTGGGAGGGTGGTGTGAACCAGCTTTCTGTGGAAGGGCCAGCTTTGGGTTGAGGGCACCAGCGTGTGGCTGTGACATTTGTGTGAGCATGCCACAGGAACACAGACAGGCAGCTCCCCTGCACCATCCGGGGCACAACTTTCCCCTCAGCTCCATTTCTGGCTAGTCTCTCTTTACCCCTCTTGGGGAACCTGAGACCAGGGAATGAGTCTTGCATTTGGCTCCACAGCAGATGGAAACACTTCAAACCATTCCCCCAACACTCTCTCATCCACCCTTGCTTTTAGCCATGATTTAAGCTGCTCTCCAGACCAGCTGTATGTCTTAAACCAAAATTCAGCTCTTTAAATTAAATTCAAGGCTGTCAAACAAACCCTCCAAAGAGCATATTCCAAGGAATTCTGCAATCCTTCACCATGCAACATTTGCTCCCAAAGCAGCGGGGAATTGGCTGGTTTGAGGTCTGGTTTGGTTTTTGGCTGCAAAATTATACACGGCATTAATAGCAGCAGTGATGAGAAAGCAAAATTCCCAATGGCCTCCCCGACACTTCGCTGTTGTGTTGCATTGTATTAATATGATATTTTTTTGTGAGAGGCCACAGCTGATGCCTGCATGCTGTGAGGTTGTGCCAGCCTGCCCGTGCTAGATGACATTGGTAACGTGGTGTGACACAAACAACAGCACCGGGTGTGACAAACCACAGCAGCAATGGATCTGCAGAGGCAATGTGAAATGACAGGGATGGCTAAGACTCATGCTCAAAATTTTAAATGGCTTACAAGAGAAGAGAGGCTTTTTAAAGGATTTTGTCACAATTTTTCGTAATTACTAGTACTTTTCCCCATTTATCCCCTTGGGGAACTTAAAACAGCAATTTGCACGGTGGTCCAGTTCCCTCCATTTTTCTCTGGTAAGGGAATCCATGAGTGCTGGCCCACTGACCCTGATTTTGTAAAAAAAAAAATAAATAAAAGAAAAGAGAAGAGGGAAAATGAGGGATTACAGGTCTTTGCCAGGCTGAAGGCTGGGATGCAGAGCATTTGTGTGCTTTGTTAGTAGTGTGTTTGTGAGCACTGGGTTCCATACATCGGTTGCAGAAGACAGAAAACAGTTGTTCCAATTCTGCGCTGATAAAATATTTTTCACACCTACAGTATCTGTCAAGCTTGTAGCAATGCAAGCAAAAGAAACAAAAAAAGAGACTTAATGCTACCTTGTTTTTCCCAGCTCTACCAAACCTCATTTTTTTTCCTTTAAATGCAGAGAGTTCTTCTCTAACCATGACTCTAAGAAACAAATAATACCATGGCCATCCTCCTGACCTTGTGCTTGCAAGGGACTGTTGGAATGAGCTTGAGCATCTCACCTTGCTCACAGTCACTAGCAGGCAGGTGCTTGTCCTTCTCCCCACTGACAGGGAAGGGGACCAGCAAAGCCCTGGCTCTTGTTGGTACAAATAGCCCAGGACCTCTGTTTTCCTGCTTTTCCTCTTCTTCCTTGGTAAATAAAACAGGCTTCATGTTTATCTCATCTTTTGTGGTGGCAAGTCAGAAGGAACTCCCCAAAACCGCAGAGAGCACAGCTATCACAAAACCAGTGTGCAGGGACCACAAAACCAGCAGAAACAATGGCCACAACTGCAAGCCTGTCTGGTGAGGCATTCATGGGACTGGAAAGAAAGAGGTGAGGAGCACATTTGGCTTGAATACTGAGTTACAATGTATGGAAGCGTGTGAAGTGGGCAGCGGGGAGCTGTGCAACACTCACAAACAACTGTGACAAACCCCTTTGCTGGGATAATTTGATCTGGCACAGTCAATGGAGTATGGCAGGATTATTACGACTGTTATTTATCATATGTACTACAGAATTTTATTGTTGTGTTGTGGTTTTGGGATTTTTTTTTTTTTTCTGTGGTTTTTTTTTTGGTTTTTGTGTGTTTTTTTTTTTTTTTTGTTGGTTTGTTGTTTGTTTTTTTGTGGTTTTGTGGGTTGGTTGATTTTCTTTTTTTTTCCCCCCCTTTTATTTTGGTGGCAAGAGCTGCTAATGCTAGTGCTATGAACTGGTACTTTCTGTGATAAGTGACTGGAAATTCATTGAAAATCCCCTCCTGCATTCTGCCCAAGTGGCAGCCATAACTGGCTATATCATTTCTATATATTATGGGATATCTTTGCCTGGCCATACCTGTAAGATCATCCAGAGAGCCGACTTTGTGAGTTTGTGTACAGGTGGATGTGTGTGTGCACGAGCAGCACTGTACACACACCCTCAGTGTCGCTGGCAGAAGGATGCCAGGCACTATTCCCCCAATTTCCATGTAAATTATCAAAACCAAAGTGACTGGTCCTTCCCATCCGTGGCACATCACGTAAGCTCAGCATCGGGCCAGGCTGCTGCAGGAGTGGGACAAAGGGCTGATGCTACAGTCCGGTTTCCATGGCAACAGAGGAGGGGTAGTGAGACCAGAAATGTTGCAAACACCCCTTCTTCTCACTGCAGCCCACTGTACTGCAAAAGCCAGTGCTGTATTGAGGAGGGGGGAGAGGGGGCAGGAAGAGTCCAAATGTCTTTACCTTTTCAGATGGCAGAGTTTCCAAAATAAAAAGCAAAGGCAATTTTTCTTCCCGGTGTTAGTTGCAAAGGGAGAGGAAACCCGCCACGCAGGCCTCGTTTTCTGCGTGTAAAATGCGTGTGTTCTTTAAAAGGCAGTGGTTGGCTGCTTATCCGGACATGATGTGGTTGAAGCTGTCATCGTAATGGAAATTCATTGCTGTAGCTATGGTAAATTGAGTTTTCTGCCTGTGCTGAATGCATTAGTCTAATGAGATGTTTGCAGCTGGAGAGCTGAGCTGCTGGAGACTTACACTGTGCTAAAAGACAGGGAGAAGATGGCTTTTGCTGGGTCCTTGTGACTGTGCTGAAAGTCCTCTGTCCCTTGGGCTCCAATGCCCAGGCTCTCTAAAGACTCTGCTCCGTGTCTTAGCCTAAGCAATAGGTAAGGGGAAAACATTCTTCTTCTTCTCCTTCTTCACCTGGTGTTTGTCGCTGAGCCTTGTCAGAGCAGCTCTTGTTCTGCTTGTCTGTGTGTGGGAACTTTGCAGCTCCTCAGTTGCAGACTCTCTTTGGCAAAGCAGATCCTTCCAGGGCCCTGGGAGCAGTTCTTGTGGGGAGAGAGGCAGAGATCAGCCGGGGCTGCCGGTGCTGCACGGCAGCAGGAGCGTCTCTGTGTCTGCGTGGGGCTGTGTGTGAGTTAGTGAAGACTTCTGTGACTACAGAGCACTCTGCATGCAGTGTGGCTTTGGGCTTTTCCAAACCTGAATCTAAGGGATCTTTTTTTATTTATTTATTTTTTTTTCTGCCAAGGTAAATGTCTCTTCCATTTTAAAAGCAACTTATATTGCAATATATGTAGCAGACAGTATGTATGTCACGTGTTCTGGGGTTTTAATATAGTTCATAGAGCAATGAGTTTAATTATAATCTTCTCATATCTTCAAACCAGATGTTAAGTTGAATTTTTATGCCTAGCTGAAAACTGGAGGGAGCTGTACTGTTTGCAGGCTGGGCTTTTCCTTCGAGACCAACAGGCTTCCAGCTTCTGAGAGACAGCGAGGAGCTCACGTGAGCAG